ACCCTACATTTCCACTTTGCTGGAATCTTTCTCACTAAAAGGCTAGAAAAGGAAGGGAGTTGTAAGAGGTCTGCTTTTGATCCAATATTTGTACATCGAAGATGACCAGCAGGGATGCTTCTAGGTGGGTGTTTGTCTACTGTGAAACCAGTCACTCTCTTGTGACAACAAAATTTGTTTATGCTTTCCTCTGTTTTCAACAAAAACTGCTCTTGGGCTATATCTTACAAAATTATTCATACCTGGCTATACTTATGGGGGAGAAGGCTTTATTTAATTTTCAGCAAACTACATTTGGCTTTTTGAAGTTCAGAGGCCAGTGAACATGTGGAGATGGTCTCCGGGTTGAGGGGTAGCCACAGGAAATTTCTGGAATCCCCACAATCACACTATTTTGTCAGTTTTTAAGTCTGACCCTGATGGCTCATTATGACTCTTTAATCAGTCAGTACACCTGCACTTTATGAATTACGTTCACATTAGTTGCATTTGGTTAAGATTGGCTGCAACTGATATAATCCATGACTCTTATCAAGGCTATACTAAGTGGAGGGTTGGTGTGTTGGGAGTTTGGGGCAGAGGCTTTCAGATTACCACCTACCCTCTACAAATAGGTAAACTGGTATGTACAGTGTGGGAACTGGTTGAAAAGAAGGTTTTGTGTTGACCCTTGACCTGGGTGCAATCTTCTGGATCTCTTTGGGTCTATGAAATGGAACTTCGACATTAGTCACAAGTGATAGAGTCCTTCTCTAGTAATTGAATTTGGGGCAACTTCAGAATTGGGATTTAATCAAGTCTTTGCTAAAGAAAGCATGGAATCAAACAACAACCCTTTCTTTTTTTTTTTTTTGCTTTTGTTGAATGTGTGTTTTCTTGAGAACTGACATAATGAAAGCTTTTGGTTTGAGGTTTTGTTTGGGTCAAGCCCCTTGAATGAGAAAGGGCTGGGAGCCAGTGTAAATGCTTCTAGAATTGAGGTTAAGGACTTAGGCCAATTCATCTCTCCACTTCCCCCTCCCCAAACAGCCCTTAGCATTATGTGTCACTCAAAGCATTTGCTGAAATTAGGAAATAGATCAAACACTGGAAAGATTCTGCAGTCTATTTACCATTCTGGGGGAACTGAGCCAATCCGGGTAAAATGTCTGTGGCAATCATTGCCATCCAGTCAAGACCAAGGATTTCAGGGCTGAGGAAACCACCTCTGACTTCCTCTCAAACTTCCTAAGGTGTTGCCTCCCACGTACTTCTGGATGAGTCCTTGACTTGTGGCAAAAGATTCCAACTAAGAATAAAGTCGAACCAACCACTTACTGAGTCTTGGGGGTTGTCGAGGCACCTGGGAAACCCAAAAGCAGTAATCACAGCTCAACTGCCTTCATAGCCAGAGTCTGGGTTGGTAAATTCTTTGGAACAATAGCTCTTTGGTAGGATCAGTCAATTCCTTTCAAGAATAGTTTTTTCATTTGCCTGAGTCTTTACATTTCAAGCTCCCATAAAATTGAATGCAGTTAAATATCTTTCTATGTCTTAATGCAAGTTACAAGCTGAGCTAAGGCGAGGCCCAGCGTAAACTGATGCCCTCTGTGATAAATGCAGGTGGGGAAGCGGGCTTTGTTTTGATTTCTCTGTCATCTGCACATTTCATAAAATGGCCACCGCCAGTGTCCTGTTCTGCTCAATAGTCCTCCAGCCAGTCATGCCAACTTGGCCTTGATGTGTTTATCCACCGACTTGTTGAGCCTACATCTAGGGTGGCACAGTCTATTAGAACACTGAAATTTGTATATCCCGTAAAGAAATGGCTCACAGCTGAATCATATGCAAATGATTCTAATCTCTGCTTCTTGCGAAGCAGCTTAGCTGAAGTCATGCTCTTGTACTTCATTATAAAACTGTGGCTTGTCACTGCCCCTGCCTGGGCTGAACGGACCTTGGCCTGGAGTGCCTGGGAGCTGTGCAAGAGAAAGCCAGGCTGGACAACTTCTCCAGAACCAGCCATTATTTTATGAGAATGAATCACTTAACCACATGGCTAACTTCAAAGGTCTTGACTTTTATTCTGAGTCAGGCGAGGACAGAGCAGGAGAGGCCTTATATTAAAGCAAGGTTGTAGATCAAAAGATTTTAGTGCTAAGGCAGGTCAGTGGTTCCACGACTTGTCCCTGCACATTGGAACAGAAAGAGGGAGCCGAAAGAAATTATATTTTCTTTTGCCTTTGGCTGCTTATTCCCCTGTGTGATTTTTATTTAGGGACATTTTTGTTAACATTTTCGCAGCTGGATGGAAGTCTAGCTTATGTAAATGGCTGACATCCCGAAGAGAAAATGTCCTCATGTTTTATCTAATCTGGGTGTTTTTTTTTTTTTTTTTTTTTTTTTTTCAACAAATTCAAAAAGAGCTCTAACACTACGAGTCTGGGGGGTTTTAATCTAGAGTCCACGGACTCCTAAGTGGGCCATGGGCTCCAGAAATTGTTGACAAAACATCATGAGTGGACATATAGGTGCTTTTTTCCTGGAGAAAGGGCCCAAGCTTCTCATCTTGTTCTCAAAGTTACCTTAACCCCAAAGTAATTGATGTTGGATCAGCTTGGAGCCCACAAATAGTGATTGAAACCAATACGCTGAGAGACACTTGGGTTTTTTTCTGAATTTAACCCTGGCTCTGAAATAATGGCCTCATCCCTCCTGGATGCCATCTGAGAATGATTTTTGCTTGTGGCCTGCTGGGTAAATGCCACTCTTTGTCTGCAGAACAACGTGGCCCTGTCAGAGTGATGTATCACCTGGAAACCAGGGTGGGTGCCAGACCTGTCGCAATATTGTCACATCCTGATGGGATGTTGTAACCTCACCCTGCGACCTACAGGCAGGGAGAGTGAAGTCCGCCTGCGTTTCCTGTGAATCTTTCCTTCCAGATTTCAGAGAAACCCAAGTCAGGTGCAGGTCCTTCTGGGGGACAATGCCAGGAGAAAAATTCTTCACCAGAATGAGAGGTTTCTCTTCTACCCAGATCTTACTAAATCCCCCTCCTCCATTCCACCGTGGCTTTTGGTGAAATTGCTGGGAGCACTGAATCATGACAAGTTGGCTGATCAGATAGGTGGATGGGTCCATGAACATGGGGAAATGCAGAATTGTAAGATTTGAATTATTTTTTCTACTAACGAGAGCATTGCAGAAATGAACCTGACTCTTGGCAGGAAAGACTTTTGTGAAATGTGTTAAGTGCCAATCTTTGGAAATGGCATAGAATAGTGTTTATGAGTAAAGCCTCTGTATTCACACAGCTCGTGTTCACATCCTGGCTCCACTTTCAGGCTGTGTGACTGGAGACCGGTTATTTGACCTCTCTGTATCTCAGATCCTCCACAGCTGTAAACTATGGATCATAATAATACCCACCTCATAGGATTAGTGTGTAAACTAAATAAGGCAATTCATGTAAAGTGCTTAGTATTGTGCCTGGTACATAGTAAGTGCTCAATAAACAGTAGCTATTCTTCTTAACCATTTTAATTAGGAACTAAGGTCAGTGGAATGGACGACTCTTGACAATCAAATAAATGTGAAGAACCCTCTCCCTTTGCATGCAATTTCAGTCAGTCCAGAATGCCCTTGAAGGCCACAAATGGGTCAGTGAACCCCAGGTTAGGAAGCCCTGACGTTATGCACATGGAAGAGACCAGTTTTACTGGGCCAATCTCTTAAAAGAATTGGCTTGTGATTAGGGATTACTTTGTGCTCAAATTGCCTGTCTTTAAAAAAAAAATTTTTTTGGTGGGGGGGGCAGTTGGCCAGTACAGAGATCAAATCCTGGACCTTGGTGTTCTCAGCACCACACTAACCAACTGAACTAACTGGCCAAATGCGGTTGGTTTTTGATTGTGGAATTTTTTGCTAAGATCTGCTTCAGTCCTCCCAACACCCAAAGTGCTCTCTCTCTCTCTCTCACACACACAGACACACAGACACACAGACACACACACACACAAACACACTGCCAGGTCATTTAGTTTTCTTTTTAGGAACTTTTATTCCACAGATCTGCCTGTGTCATCTTCTTTTCAGTGAGAGTCGCAAGGGTTACCATAATGAGACATTTGTTAAACTAATCTGTGTTTCCACAGTCCACTGTGGACCTCTGCGCTAAGCCTAGGCCGCTCAATAGCCCCTTTGTCAGGCTGATTAAAATGTAACTTTGCATGCCAAAAAAGGCACTCCTGTGGCTCAAAAGCCATCATTCTTTGTTATAAATGTTTACATTTTTGTGTTATGTAAAAAAACGAAACAAAACAAAAACCTACCAGTGACAAGTCTTTCAATGGCTTCTCATCTCTCTCAGTATAAAGTTCTTAAAAAGTCCCATAAGGCATTAATAATAGAACCTCAGCTCCTACCCCTCTTCCTCTTGCTCACAGCCATACTGGCTTCCTGCTGTTCTGTGCACATACCAAAAACACATTGACCTCAGGGCCTTTGCACATATTATCTCCATTCATGGAAGGCTCTTCCGCAAGCTGTCTGTATGGCTCTCTCCCTCACAACTTTCAGGATCCCTTATCAGAGAGGTCTTCTGTGACCACCTTGTATTAAATCGCATGTTATTACAACCTCTATACTTCTTTTTTTTTCATTTTCGGTATTTTGTACATATATTTTTTTTTTATTATACGTACATGTGGGGTACAATGTTGATTTTCAGTAATTGTGTACGGCGTGTGGTGGTTAGATTAGTATAGTTAGCTTATTCGTCATTACAATACGTAATCATTCTTTGTGTCTGTTGACCAATCAACCTCCATGCTTCTATTCTGATTTCTTACCCTGAATTATTTTTCTCCATAGCATTTATCATTTCTGTTTTGTTTGGTTCGCTACTACACACCCAAACAGTGCCAGGCATGCAGTAGGTGCTCAGTAAAAGTATTGGTAAAATGAGTGGATGTGGCAGTGAAAATGATAATAGAAAACAGGTAAATTAAACGGCTCTCATTTTTCTCTTTAGCAGAGTCACCTGATATGAAAAAGGAGCAAGACCACCCTGCAAAGTCCCACACCAAAAAGCACAGTAAGTTGACTGGCTTTCAGATGGCTCTGGGCCCCTCCTTTCAAGGTGGGCATAACTGGAGGTCACTAGTTTTTAGGCAAATGTTTCCTCTGACTGCTGCTTCATTTTTTAACCCTGACTGTGTAGGGTGGGAAAATAGAGGCATCACTTGCTGGCAAAGTAACCTTCTCTGCAGCTCTTTCTCAGAGTGGAGTCCCCTTGCATATTTCTGCCTCATTCTGTCATATGTGTTCTAAAACCGAGACACCCCGTGAATAAGAACTTCTTGCAGACATGGGGTTAGTGGTTTCCCTCTATCCCAGAAGAGAAGAGTGGAAAGAGAAGCAGGATGGGAAGAAACAACTGAGATGCATCATTCCTTCTTTTGCTGAATATTGAACCCCTATCTTAGTAGAATTATTGTTTATTATTGAGATTCAACCCTACTCCTTTGGAGTTGGATTTCCCCCAGTGATAAAGTCCTACAAACATATATGAAATATCAGAGACGTGTAATGGGGTGGGGGGCAAAGGAGGAACTCAAGACAGTATAATCTAGAAATTATAGGGGATTGGAATGTCTTTACTATCTGCTACTTTCGCTCATCCCACAGAACTGAATTAATACAGCCCCTCGAGTGGTGGCAGTGGTGGGGAGGGAGCATCCCAAATCCAGTGGGAGTAAAAGTGAATTTGATTGATAAACTCATTCTGGTAGCTGCTTCATTTTTAAATTGGGCCCCCCAAACCCTGCATGACACCTCCCCTACTACCCCTCAATAAATTCTAGGAGTTAAATTCTAGAGCTTTATTGATTTGCATTTGGCTGAAGCACAGTTGCTGGGTTGGGGCAATTTAATTGGTTGAGGTACCAGATAGAAGGGGTTAGAAGTTGCTCTCTGGGGAAGTAACAAGTTGAAATAAGTCCCAAGCAATTTGTGAATAATAATTAGACAAAACTCCCCCTGGCTTAGTTGACCTATGACCTATCCCTTAGTCTTGGCTTTGCCATTAGTGGTGTGACCTTGGTCAAGACACTTAAATTCTCTGCATCTCAGTTTCTTGATTTTTAAAATAAAAAATTGTTTTCAATTTTTAAATTTAATTTTTTTAAATATTTAAGTTTTTAGATTAGTATAGTTAGCTTATTCATCATTATAGTATGTAATGATGAACTTAAATTTTTAAAAATAAAGAATTGCTAGTTCATTCTCAAACTCCTTTTCTAGTCCAGTATTTGGTGATTCTGGGATCTAGCTTCCTTGGTGAGCAGGGGATCATTCCTCCTTGATGGAAGATGTTGTAACTTAGTGCCCCCTCTGCCCTTTCATTACTGTGACTTAGGCCATTAATAGATCCCTTTTTCTGCTTTTCATCAGACCCAAGAGGGACTCACTTATGGGAGTTCATCCGTGACATCCTCCTGAACCCAGACAAGAATCCAGGATTAATAAAGTGGGAAGACCGGTCTGAGGGCATCTTCAGGTTCCTGAAATCAGAGGCTGTGGCTCAGCTATGGGGAAAAAAGAAAAACAACAGTAGCATGACCTATGAAAAACTCAGCCGTGCTATGAGGTGAGGAGTTTCATGTCTCTGAAATGGACACGGTCATGTGACCAGTAATTTACCCACTACTCTTAGTTGGGCCACACACCTTATGTAATTTCCTTTGTTACAGATATTACTACAAAAGAGAAATTCTGGAACGTGTGGATGGACGAAGACTGGTATATAAATTTGGGAAGAATGCTCGTGGATGGAGGGAAAATGAAAACTGAAGCTGCCAATCCTTTGAACACAGAGGAAAACACATACCAAATAACAACAGAGAACTCTGGACGTAAATATTTCAAAGACTACTTTTCTCTGATATTTATGTACCATGAGGGGGAAAAAATCTACTTCTAACGGGAAGAAGGAACACTACAGTTGATAAAAAATTATTTTGTTACTTTGAAGTATGTCCTATATGGGGAACAAACGTACACAGTTTTCTGTGAAATATGATGCTGTATGTGGTTGTGATTTGTTTTTGCCTCTATTGTGAAGTTCTTTCCCACTGCAAGGATAACATGGCTTGTAGCCTTGTGCTTCTTGCTAGGAGGAAAAAAAAAAAATCAGAGGGCATTAAATGTTTTTGTATGCAAAATGATTTGGAAAAAGGTGATGTGTCCTTCATGCATAAGCATCCACATGGCCTCATCAAGAGAGGTAGACATGGTTGCTAGGTGGAACACCCGGGTCTCAGATTGATGGGATCAACTGGAAGGATGCTGGGAAATTCAACCTGAACTTTAGGAGCCAGTGAATGGAGAATGGGGACTTCCAAAATCCAGGGTAGATTGCAATCACTGCATAATCACATGGCTTGCAATGTTTAAATCAGTGGCAGGAATAATGGTGATACTCATTCAGGAGTGATTTACCTGATGCTAAAGCTATCTTCCTCTCTTGCCCTTGGATGTTTGGTGGAAAAACCTCAATGGTCACATCTGCTCACTTCTAGTTATTTAAGAGAGGGTCAAGCCTTGGTTATTTTTATTCCAACTGCTTAAAAATAAGTGGGGCAAAAAAGGTGGTGGTATGGAAATGGCTGATGAGTTTGCTCTGGTATCTTCATAGTCCAGGGTTTCTCAGTTGGCGTATTGACAGTTTTGGCTGGATCATTCTTTGTGGTGGGGGCTGTCCTATGCATTGTAGGATGTTTAGCAGAAAGGGGCCTGTCCTGTGTGTACTGTAGGATGTTTAGCAGAATCTATGGATGTGAAAAAATCACTGGATGCCAAAAGCACTCTGCAGCTGTGACAACGAAAAATGTCCCTAGATATCATCAAATGTCCCCTGGGGGGCGGGGGGACGGACAAAACTGCCTTTAATTGAGAACCACTGATTTAGCCAGTCAAGATGAAGATGGTGATTTTTCTCAGAACAAAAAGATATGTAAGGTCTTTTAGTTTCTAGAGTGAAGGAAAAGCAGGACTTCAAAGTCATCTTATTTTTTTTTTTTTAAATGTTAGAGAGCATGGGTTGAAATACCTGGGGGAAATTCTTTTCAGAACCTCAGATGAGAGCCAAAGTCAGATAAGTTAAACATAGCAATGTAGCAAGAGCTACAATAGAAGACATTTTCACTAGAATTACAAAGCAGAGTGACAATTATATTGCAGAAGGAAATGCTGAGAGAAGAAATTGTGTGTGTGTGTATGAGAGAGAGAGAGAGAGAATTAGTTCTAGGAAAAGCCTTCTTTGCAGGTGTTTTCCTCTTTTGAATAATCTCTTTCCTGTTCCATCTGAACTCACCTCAAAGTAATGGTTTGTTGCCTAGATTTCCATTCAGGGGAATGTTCTAAAAAAAGAGAGTAAAGAAAGAAAGGATGGAAAACAAAAACGGAAAATTCTGTTCAGGAGCTATTGTCACCAAGGAGTTGAAATCTTCAATAATGGGATTGTTCTGAGCTACCTGGAGACTTAGCACTGGACCGTGTAATCTGGTTGGAATGTGAGTCTGTAGACACTTTGAAAATGGGTTTGAACATCCAGATCTCTTTTGCAACTTTTTTTTTTTTTTGGCTCCCTCATGTCCTTGGCTTTCTTCTCCATCCTGTTTCTCCTTCTGGAATGATAATAGGGAATGAAGGTATGCATCAATGGGACAGAGTGCTCTTCATTAACTAATAGAGCTCCCACCACAGTGTCTTACACAGCAGAGGTGAGTGATTCATACATGGTCAAAAGTTGTCAAATGTTTTTAAAGTATTCAGAAGGCTGGAAGTAAGATGAATGAAGAATTTGTCCTAATTGTAATGAGAACTGTTATAAGTGGTGACCTGGAGCACCCATTAATCATCTTCTGAAGGTACGACCAAGCCCATTGTTATTTTTGCCTGGCTTGGTCACCTCCACAAATGTTTTACTTGGTGTTATCAAGTAGCAGTTACTGAGGGAGCGGAAAAAAATAATAATGAGTGGCAAAGATCTTGACTATGCAACTAAGACTCCTGCATAAAAAGCATAATTTGCTTTCAAGGCTAAAGAACTATGGGGTCTTCCCAGACTCTGCCTGTACATCACACAGAACAACCTAAACGTCCAGATATTTAAGTTGGGGTAACATGTGAATACTTGTGTGTCTGAATTGTGTGAAGTTATTAGGGGCATCCACCAATTCTCTCTCTGCTGTTTCTTCCCTGACTTGCCCGTTGGTCATCTCAGGCAGCCAGATCTCTCTCTGAGTTCATCTGTCCTCAAACCTGTAAGTTTCTTGTGTTCTTCCAAACTGCCTTTGGCTCCTTCTGCAACCTTTCCATTGAAGAGCAACCCTTGCTAGGGAGTAAGTGAATCTGGAAAGTACCAACTAGAGCAGTTCTGCAGATAATTAGCAGATTGTGTTGTTTGTTGAAAGTGACGGTTTCTTGGCACCTGGTGCCTATTTAAATAGGCTGGAGTATTAAGTTCTCAGCATATCTCTCTATTGTCTTGGCTTGAATTTGCTGCGTTTTCTATGTGCTGTTCGTGACTTGGAGAACTCAAGATAATTGAGCCATGCCAACTTGGGGTGTGAACAGAGTACTTCTCACCACAGTGTTGAAAGAGAGAGCCAAGTCGTACTGGTAAGCCCCCCTTTCTTTCGGGAACACACAATTTCTCACTTGAGAAGCTCGTCGGTGTTGGATGTCTACATGGTCACTAAACACAGTCTCCTTGAACCCTCCTTAAGCTAAAGGATTGGACTCTATTAGCAGGTTTTCATGGGAAACTGAGGCAGGAAATGTATCACTAAGACTTGACTAGACTCAGGTCATCTTAGGCTCCTAGATGTTTGATTTGATAAAACTTGAGCAAGGCCCTGGCTCCCAGAGACATAGCCTGCAGCTTCTTGAATGTTCCACCTGAACAGGGCAGACCCAGGTTATGAGTTCTCCTTTGAATACATCGGTCCTTCCTCAAAGTTCTTGTCTTGCTAGACTGTAAGCTCATGGAGGGCAGGGACTATGTCTTATCACTATTGTTTTCCTGGTACCTAGCACGAGACAGGCACACAATAAATCATGTGTATTTTAAATAAATATTGTTGAATTAATGAGTGAATGTCTTCTGGAAGACTCCTCTGATTGTGAGGCCATATCTATAATTGGGATGTGAATCATTTTCTTCAATGGAGTAAAAACACAACGGCCAGACCTTCAAGGACATATTATGAACATTTTACTGTGAGACTCTTTACTTTGCCTTCCTACCTGCGCTGAAATGAAACAAAAAACAGGCTATTAGGTTCCATAAGTCGAAATATGTTGGATGAGAATTCTGTTGCCTTACTTGGAACTGTGAGACTTATCTGGAACAAAAGCCAGTAGCGAACCTTTGACCTGTTTTAACCAATGAAGATTATGAATGTGTTTATATGATGTAAATTGCTATTTAAGTGTAAAGCAGTTCTAAGTTTTAGTATTTTGGGATCGGTTTTTATTTTATTTTATTTTTTTCTTTTTGAAAAATACTGAGGGATCTTTTGATAAGGTTAGTAATGCATGCTAGATTTTAGTTTTGCAAGTGTGTTGTTTTTCAAATGTATAAAATATAGAAAAAAGTAAAACAGAGGGAAAGGCAAATATATTATTCTTGTATAGTTAAAAAAAAAAGCATTTGTTGAGTGCACAGCATGGAACCATATATGTGAGGAATTTGTCTAATTTTATAGGGTACAATAGATACTGCCTGTTGGACGGATGCTTGTTGTATGAATGATAGAATATGACAGCAATCACAATATCAGAGCTGAATTACCCTTAGTGTTGGTTCTCCGGATTCAGTTTCTGGAATAAGAGAACATTAAAAAAAAAAACCTGTTGAGACTGTGTCTTACGAACCTCTGAAATGTACAGGCCTTCACAAGTTTGGCTAAATTGGGGTTAATCTTTCTGTAGCTATCTGCATAATTTTTGCTTTTCTTCCCAACTGGCTCTTGGGTTGACAATTTGTGGGAAACAACCCTACTGCTGGTATTTTTTTTTAAATCAGAAATCTTTCCCTTTAAACTATGTTAAATTCAAACAGAGTATTTCTCTTTTATGAAAGAATTTTATTTTTCAGAATATGGTTTTTCATTTGATGGGTCCCAGAAAACACTAATAAAAACCAGAGACCGGACTGTAAGTGTGTGTTTCATTGTTTTCTTCTTACCAACAAGCCATTCAAAGCTAGGTTTAGAGGAAATGCACTTAGTCTATAGCCACAGAACATGTATAGTTTCTGCATTTATTTACTCAATAAGCATTTACTGAGCATTTACTATGTGCCAGGCAGAGAATGAGAGATACAAAAATCTCTGCTCTCATGAAGTTTATGATCTATTGGGTGGAAACAGACAAGGAGAAAAAAAACTAACAAAACAGCATATCAGATGTGAAGTAAAGAAATATAAGGCAAGGAAGAGGAGCAGAGAGTGCTGGAGCATGTAGTGGTATATTGCATGTATAGGCAGGAATAAGAAGGAAACATTTCAGGAAAGGACTGCAGGATGTAAGAGAAGGAGCCATGCAGATGACTGGGGGAGTGATCCATACTAGAGGGACCAGCTAGTGCAAAGGTCCTGAGGTTGATGTGTTCCTGTTGTGTCCAAAGAACAGTGAGGAAGTCTGTTTGACAGAGTAGACTAGCAATAGTAGGAAATGATGACACAGAGGCACTGGTGGACCAGATCATATGGACCCTGGGGGCCGTTATGAAAGCTCTAATTTTTTCTTTGCATGAGAGGGAGAGCCAGAGAGGAGTAACATGCTCCAACCTCTGGTTTAAAAGGATCCCTCTGGCTGTTGTGTTGAGACTGGATTGCAGTAAGGCATTCCATGCTAGGTGTACCTTCTTAGTAAAGGATGAGCAAAGGGGGGTAGAAAAGATCACTCCCACACGCAGGTTTCCAATACAATACTTAAAAATGTTTCCAGGCAGTAAGTGAATTCTACTACTTCATAGCACATTTCTCCCTTGGCCCAGAAAGTCTCAGTCATTCAGCTACTTAGCTTCATAAATAATAATGAAAATAATAATAGCTAACCATTTTGGGAAGACTCATTTGGTCCCAAGAACTGTGATTTTATTTTTTTTACATACATTATTATATTTAATCACACAGTCTGTGATATATAGATATTATTCCCAATTTTCAAATGAGGGAAATGGAGATCATGAGGGTTAAATAACTTCTCAGGGTCACACAGGTAGTAATAAATAGTAGATCTGGCATTATTTACCCAGATCCCTCTTCCCCCCACCCCCAAAGTCCATGCTCTAATCCTAATATTTCTCGAGTTCCTCAGGATGCTAATGTAAACACCTATACATACACACACACAAGTTTCAATGGTTAAATATGTTGGAGAAATATTAGGTGGAACAGTGTTTTACAGGGCTATTTACTGTGGGCCTTCTGAGTCTTTATTACGATGATGTGCATTGTGAATCTCCGGGCAAGAAAAAAATTATGCCCCATTTCCCAAGCCTATTTTTAATGAATCCTTTTCATCAAATGAAACCAGCACCCCTTAGAACGCACTTAAAGAAATAATGACCTTTAGAGATTACTTCTCAGACTTTGAAGAGACAATATTTTCATGTTTGGGCCAACTAAGTATGCTGATAATATTCCTGCAGATTAAATTTGGCCAACTTTAAATTATTTGTTGTTGTTGCTCTCCTTGAGAAGAAGTTTCCTCACTAACTGACCTGGGCATTATTTATTTGCATTGATGCATATCTTTGTAATCATGAAGAACCTGCAAAGTGACTTGTTGGGAACTGTAAACCCTCCTGAAGTTTAATTTTCTAGAAGTATCTATCCAAAACTATAGGCACTAGACTAGCCACAAGTGACCATTTGTTTCAATTAGTTAAAATTGCATAAATGAAAGTTTTAGTTCCTTAATCACACTATCCACATTTCAAGTGCTAAATAGGAACTATGGCTAGTGGGTGCTGTATCAGATAGCGCAGATATAGAATGTTTCCATCATCACAGAAAATTCTACCTGATGACACTGCTCTAGGGTCTGACCTGGGAGGGTGGGGCAAGGGTGGAAAGGGTAGTGAACAAAACTAGCCAACAGTGAAATAAGATCCAGGGAGCTGCAGAAAACCAAAGGTGACCCTGAATTGTAGAGAACAAAAAATAAAGCAAGTATGTCTGAGTTTGTTGGAATGATGACAGTACTGGTGAGTACAAACAAGTTTGATGCTGTCAGCAGAGGCTTGGAGTGGGAGGACTTGACTATTCTTATCTCAAAACCCCACAAATACCCTACAGTTATTAAGAAAGTTCCAAGGATGTGGCTTTCTAGTTGAGGAAATTAGCATTAAGAAGGGATCACTGAAATGAGAAGGGAAATGAAAGGTCCCCAAATAGGAATGGATGTCACTGCCCACTGTCTGCTACAAATGGCGCTAATGCATAAGCAGTGCTCTCTCTTCCCTTGTAAGTCAGTTCTCCCCCACTAACTATCATGATCTGGCCACTGTTCACATCAAGTGTCTGACAACGCCCTATTGAAGGTCAAACTCATTCCTGCCTCAGGATTTCTGCTTTAGCTGCTCTCTCTACCTACAATGCACGTTCTTTTGATCTCTCGTGGCTGGTTCCTTCCAGTTATGCAGGTCTCAGTTCAAAAAGTCATCCTTCGTAATTACAAGAGCTTCCGCTCCCCACCCCCCTACCCCATCGCTTCCTATTATATTATCCGCATTCTATCTTCTCAGCACTTACAGCATCTGAAATTGCACTTTTAACTGATTAGTATTTATTTTCCCTGCTAGAAGTAAGCTCTAGGAAAGCAGGGACGAGGCCTTCCACAGTCACCGACGTGCTCCTTGAGCTTGGGTATACTTAACACATGCACCTGACTCCAGCAACTTTAACCTTTTTCAAATTCCAAAGCCTTTCTTTTGACTTCATGTCTTTTGAAACGGGTGACCCTCTTCCCCCTTTACTTTTGAAGAAGATCGACTGCAGCATTTTCTGCAACTGTGAAATTCTTGCTCTTCTGTTTCCTGAGGGCTCATTCTTCAGTTCTTACTCTTTCCGTGTCTCTAACTCTATGTGTTACCCAAGATTAAATCCTCAGCCCTCTTCCCTTCTCCCTTTCCATTCTCTCCCTCAGAGCCTAGCCTCTTGAAAGCTGAGCCTCAGGACACTTCATAATGACATGGGGGAGGAGAAGACTACTTTTTCCCTGGTCGTGGCTTCAACTCTAACTGGCTGGAGCCTATGGATGGCCATGTCACTTAACTTCTCCATTCCTTAGTTTCTTCCATTAAATAGACGCACATACTCACTGCCCAGTGGTGCTGTGGGAACCAAGTGAACAGATCCTGACGTCAGATCATTCTGTTACTTATGGAGGGTTTATACATGCAGGGATTGTACTGAGCACTTTACTTTTATTTTTTTTCATTTAAGTTTCACTCTAAACTCATGAGATAGGTTATACTGTTATTTCCATTTTTACAGATGAGGAAACTGAGCCTGAGAAGGCTAAAGAATCCTGCCTGAGTTCAATCTGCTGGTATGTGGCAGAGCTTAGATTTGAACCTCTGTCTGGCTGAATACAGAATTGAGGTCTTAATCATGATGCTTTATGGTCTGTCTTTGAAAATGTTAAGAAAGTAAGTAAGCATTGGACAAAATAAAGGACTTATTTCTGAATTTATGATGACCCAAAGAGAGGTATTTTGAGTGTCTTGCATGGGAACGTAATGATATCTAGCCAAGCCTGGGCTAGGAGGAGAAGCCAGTTTTCCCTCTTTCTTGTTCATAAATTCTTCCATCCCAGAGAAACTCTTCTTGGCCACAGGCCTCTCATCATCACAGGGGTCTTCCATCTCCAATGAGGAGACATCCTCAGGGAAGCTCCACTTCCTTCCTGGCCTCCACGCTGATGCCATGCAAACTTTTTATGCTGATTCTTCTAATCTAGCCAATATCATCTCCCTCCTGGGTTACTGCCAAGTCAGGGAGAAAAAAACTGCACATGCCAGACACTGAGGGAAGAGCAGATGTGGAACCAGGGGGACCAAGTCAGAGCCACTAAGACATGACAAATGCGGAGGTCCCAGCACTGCTGAGGAAGGAGCACAAGCAAGTGTGGGATCTGGTTAAAGATCTCATTAGTCATTGGCTGCTTGTCTTCTCTCCTCTGCTTCATTGTGCGTGTGCATGTAGCTGTGCATGCCCTTCCTTCGCCTGCTCTCTGTGTCTCTTTCAGAGCCCCTGTTGCTTTCCCATACCCTTCCTTCCTCTTGCTCACCAATCCCTTTCAGACTCCTTCCCTCTCCAAACCTGTCTTTCCAGGTTGCTGAAAGACAGAGCCAAGGAGAGGACAGTCCACAACCAGGAATGGTGCCGCCTCTCTGAAAGCCTCAGTGATGACAATAACAAATGATATTTACCTAAGAGTTATTAACACATCAATTGTTCCCTCCCTTACTGTTTAGTCATGTCATTCAGCACTGATGGACTTTTCCAATGGCAAACAGAAAGAGAAGAAGAAAAACAAACAGTGTATTCACACTAGATAGAGTGGCTGATCCCTGCCGAAGCTGTGAAAACAGAGGCAATCTCTGAGGTTTGACCCGAGGACATGTCTCACCTGACTGAGAATACACAGGATTCTGGGCCTATGTTGGATTCTCCACCCGGGTTTCCTGGGAGAAGGAAAGCAAAAAGAAGTAAAGGACATGACTTCATGGTGCAAGAAAAATAAAATGCTCTACTTATTCAACAACTTTCAACTACACATTGGTGACAACCAGGGTGGCAGGCCCTGCACTGGGTGCTGCCACCATGTACCAGACAGACTGAAGACAAGGGCAAGTGACTGTTCCAAGTTCACACAGCAGGTCAGTGTGAGAGCCCACCTGACTTCCAGTTCCACCCCACCACGGTGCCCATTCTTTCTTTAGGAAGGAGATATCTTCAAATCACTGGGACTGGAAAACAGGATAACAGGAAAAAGCACAGCCTTTTAGTTGGAGCAACCCCAGTTCCTAGTCTCATACCTTCTCTTACAGGCTGAGTGACCTTGGACAAATGATTTAACCTCTCTAAACTTCAGCTTCCTCATGAACAAGCAGGACATTCCAAGTTGGAGCTTATGCCT